GGGTGAAATCTAATATTTTATGTTTAATTAGAGCAAACACATCTCTAGAAACTTCAAACTTAATTATATATGGGGTTTTTCTGTTACATGAGAGAGGGAATAGTTATTTTCTGAAGTCTAATTCTGAACGTAATTCACTCGACGCTGAACTGAGGCATCAGAGCAGCATCGATGGATTTGTTACATGCGTGTAATTTAAATATAGAATCGTGTCTGACACGAACATTATTTATTTGTGGTCGCTCCTCTTATTAGTGGTTCTTGGAAAAAATTGAAGTTCTATTAGTTCACTTGACTGTTTTTACTGAGATTTTTGCCCTCTAACATTGGTTACGATTCTTTGCCTCATAATTTATCTTAACCCTCTACCGCCTCACATGAGTAAGTGGAGCAATATTTTCACAAGCCTACTTCCCAAAAAAGATACGTTCTAGTGAGCGCAAAATGACTTGCACTGATGGTTGCCGTCACGTACGACAAATTTAAAATGTTATCTGTTGCGTACAAACGTCCTCAGGTTGATACGATATAGTTTACGTATAATTTAAGTTGAAAGTTATTTTCCCGGAGAGTGACATACGGCGGTAGAGAGTTAAAAAAATATAACTCAGTACTCACTGCAGTGAGTGACAGAGAGCGCATTTTCTCGTCGACGAAAACTTGAGGTCACGGACGGACGGACAGACGGACTGACAGACAGACAGACAGACGGACATGGCGAGCGCAATAGTGCATTTTTTCCATAAATGAGAAAATGCGCTAAAAACACTGTGTCCATGTAAAATGACATCTAGTATTTAAATAATTATTGTGTCGTTACACTCAGATTTCCCTGAAATCCTGCTGTGAACATCATACCAACTTCTACTAATATTTTTCTACTTTTTGGTTTTAAGAGCGTACACGTCAGCACTAACAACCAATATTTCATCAAATATTTACCAGAGTTTACACTTTCCTATGTTGTTAGCATCATTCCTTTCTGCCATGTCACCACATGAAAGTTTGTTTGCACCTCCTCTTCTTCATCGCAGTTCTGTAATCTTCTTCTATTTTAGTGGCCGGAGTCTCTAACCGGAAATTTTGGCCCATATGCATTTATAATATTTCGCCGCACGTTCTTCATCTTTTCTAAAGTAAAGACACTCAAATAGCACTTATTTTGAGGCAACTTTCTTTCCTTCCTGCCATAAAGTCCTGTCGTTACCAAGTGTGCGCACTCTATAAGATGCGCTCTTGCCTCTATTTATGGCAGCTGCTACGAGCTCCAGGGATGGTACTTTGCATCGTGAACGATATGCGCTGCGGCGAGCTCATGAAATAACCTCGGCCTCCCATCAGCGATTTTCAGAATCTCTTAAAAATATTTTAAATTTCGAAATTTAATTCAATCATTGTCAAACCGTGCAGAAATTTTCGAGGGAATTATTTCTTTTAAATTATGACCTCCCTCCGCTGATTATGATGCTTTGAAGACATCAACGCGTGCTCCGCTTAAAGCTAAGCTTACCAGCGAGAGTCTTGCTTCGTACGTCGTAAATAATTAGCTGTATTCATCCCGGCAGACTCTCGGAGTGTCCCTTGGCGTCCATTGACCGTCTATTGCAGAGCTGTCTCGCTCGAGCCTGACACCGCATTCTAATGAGACGCGACAGACTTGCGGAAATTGTCTTCTTAGGCTATCGCTTCGTGCTCTGGTTCAGGGTTTTATGGTTGTTAGCTTTGTGCCGACTTTGAGCTCTCCATTGTAATGTTCTATGCATCGTGATGTAGGGACTCTGTATCACTTAAACAGCCTGGATACTCTGTGTAACACACGTTGCTGTAGTACTCTTTGTTATTGAATTTGCTCAGAATTTAGTTACAAATGGAAGTAAAAAATGTCAATGCAGCGAAGGAATTTTATTAAAGCGTCAAAAGAAGTTGATGTACAGCGGCCAGTAGGAAATGATATACTCTGTAGTTGTTAGCACTGCAGGAATAGATTACTAAAACCAGTACCGGTACAGTAATTAGGGGTTAATTATAACAATATTTGAATTAAAAGGAATGAGTCACTGTTACAAGTTGTACGTCTCTCTCTCGATCCTCATCATAAAGATCACAGTAATTTAGTAGTCGGCTTAGAAATAATGAAACGACCTGATGGGTGTGAAACCAGGTTGTAAATCGAGGTGGTTGTGCTGATTCTCATCTGGCAAGTAGAGATTCGCAGATTAAGAAACCTATCTAACTATATCAAGTTATAGCTCAATGTATAATAAGTCAATACAATAGTATTGATAATATAATCAATTATAATAATATAATAAGTCAATTCAATAATCAAAAGTTTCATCATGATTACTAACCTATTTGTCGCCTGTAGCGAACCATACATAAGCGTTTTCAGAGTACAGGAATGAAAGAAGGGTAAACAGTTAAAGGTATGTCCCCTCTTGTAAAAAATAAAGAGTGCAAGCATGCACGTTAAAGCCGGCAATAAATAAGAAGTTACAGAATATATGCTAAACGGAGCGAAAAACCCACTCGGTTTTAATATGCGACTCAAAACTATTAAATGTGTGGACACACGGGGCTCGAACATGCAATATTAATGAACTATACAAAAGGAAAATACATTCGCACAAACTCAATATCAGGAAAAGAGAAGCAAGAGTTATCAAGAGGAGTTGCAAGATGGTTCAAGGATTAGACCGGCTCAGTCGTAATGACGAGATAAAAATGAACAGATTTTGCTAAGCACCGACGATCTCGGTCTCCTAGCAAGCGACCATCCACAAGCGTTTTTACAATGGGGACGTTTATAAATGATACATTTTTACATAGTCCACTTTCATACGCCCTGCTGTTGTACATACTATTTGTGCTCTTACTTAAGTTTTTCTCTCTCGAATGCGCCGCTGGTGTCGCCTACTTCGAGGATAATAAATCTCCTCCCGTAAGGTGGAAAAATAGCCGCCTGGATTCAGGGTATATATTTGTTAAAAGACAATTTTGCGTCGGGGCTAGTTCAGCGTCAACTATTTTATTTGCAAAAAACATCCGACAGCGCATAAGATGATGTTGCCACTAGCAGAGACATAAAATTTTCTCTAGATAAATAGTCTCACGTTTCATACAAAACACCGCCCTTGTAGTCTTTGTACACATTCATACCTTCACCAGTATTCCTTCAAATTGGTGCAGTTTGAGTGTTTAGCAACTTTGATCCTACTTCAAATTAAGGCAACTTTACATTTTACAAAAAGAAAAATTTATTTATAAATATTTCATGTTTTTGTTTCTCAGTCATTTATAAATAACTTATGTTTTAAATTTCATCAAACTCTCAATTCATAAAGTTTTTTTTAAGGTTGCTTCGCAAGGCTCGACAGCTCATATTGAGAACTTCAATAAAATGTGCACTTCCACGCACTCTATTCCAATTATCTATATACTATATAGCTATCAGCTAGCAATTATATACCTTATCTCATCCGGAAATTGAAATATGAATATGTCCGAGAAATAATTTATGAATAATATTACTGATAATCGCAATGATCACTTATGGACGAAAACGTAAAAATTTCTATAGTAACGTTTGTGCCCCGGAGTATTTACGGAGTCCAATTTATAAGGCTCATCTGACGTGAGCGGCCGAAGCTGGACACTAAAAAAACGGTGCTACCCTAAATCCCTCCGCTAATCCCCATTCAGAGTTGACGCTCACCTGCGAGTCGTGTCGCTGCGGTGCGATCAACGTAAAACTCGTGATCATCCTATGAAGCTTTAAATTTCCCGTGTCGATTGAATATATTTTGGTTTTTAAAATGAGTGTTTTAACAGCTGCGTCCTTATGTGTATGAATTAAAATGCAAATGTTAAAGTTGATCATGATGCTTAATAATGCTGAATGGTACAAGTTTTGAATGGCATTTGAAATCATTATTTGGCTGCAGATAAGCTGCGACAGTCGAAGGCTTCTTCGTAAAATACAATAATGTAAGTATTTCTCGTGTTCATCTGCGTAATTTTCCAGAAGAACTTTAATTTTCAGTCTAAAATTTAGACAAAACCAGACCGTAGAAGTAGGGTATCATGGAAATCAGGATGACATTAAGAAGCAAATGCAATATTGTGACGGAGAACACATTCGCCTGCAAATTATTTTGCAGACTGAGTTCGCAATTGCATGGGAGCGGCGCTCAGACTCGTCTGTTCTCGATGTATCTTGCTTGTTCATTGCATACAATTTATAAACATAATTGTAGTCCACCTCAGTAGTCGAAGTCCACCTCAGTAGCCAGTCACATTTTCTACTGGCTACTGAAGTGGACTTCGACTTGTTTTATTCAGTGGACGAACGTTGCAGGCATTGAAAGACGTACTGTTTGATCGTTCAAACGAGGGATCCGACGACTATCATGAAAGTCATGATTTTTTAAGCTAAAAGAGAGGTCGTGCACGGAAGAATATTGTGCTGACTTTTATTTTTTTCAATTTGCAAATAAACCGAATTTAATTAATTCATTGATTTCATTTTCGTTCATTGTATATATACAATAGATTAATCCGCGTACTGGTTTAGTGTTGTATTATTTCATAGTTTTGCTAGAATTAATCGTTGAAAATTTTAAGTTTAAATTTTTTTCAGAAATTTTGATCAGTAGTAGCAACCTTCTGAATATTGAATGCTTGTGTGCTAACATGTATTGAAAAACAGGTGTGTCATCTTCATTCATATTAAAATTGTGCTTTTTCACATATGGGCTTCGTAAGTCTATAATTGTATTCACTTACCTTCACGTGTGCAAAATAACTTTGTTTACTGGACTATGTCACCAGCAGCACCCCACTAATGATTTTGTACTGCTACACTTTATTAACTTCCACCTCACGCTATCAAACCGATTTATTATTTTATTTGAGCTTGTATGATATTAATATCAGCGTTGGCTACTGCCGTACTAAAGCTTATGTATTGCACATGTTGTAGTTTGCTTGCTTCACTGCAGGTCGCACGCTGCCTCTCTCACCACCATCGTCATCGCTGTCCTCATCCCCGCCATTGGTCACCCCACGCCTCCCGCCGACGTTGTAGGGATGCCCGTGCAGGTTCTATCTCCCGGCGGGGTGTCCCTGCATCGGCGGGAGTCCATTGACGAAAACCTCCGACGTCGCCCAGACTGGCGGAGCGTCGAGGATGGCCTCGAAAACGATTACGGTTTCCTCCAATACCCGTCCCTGCAGCGACCTCCCAAACAACAAACATGGCGGCCCGCCCCGGGTTTGGCGGTTCCTTACATCCGGCCTATGAGGGTGGAGCGCCCTTCGTGGCACCAAGACGACCTCCTGCGTACCTCGACTCCTCTGTCACCAGGTCACGCCATTTCGACGGTATCGCCGCTACCCGGAGTTCCTGAGCATCATGTCACATCGCGCGGCATCACCAAGCGACACTCGGTGCTGTGGAAACTCAAGCCTGAGAAATGGAGGCAACGAGAAGGAACGGCAGGGACTGGAGGCGGTACTTTGCGGAGGTGCCGGAGTCGTGACGATGTGCTTCAGCCGTCTCCTCGTCATCATCCCTCTCCTTCTCACCTCGCTGCCTCTCATCCTGACCTCGTAACTTCTCACTTGGCGCTGCCATCTGAGATGGGTGCTCCTCCCGCGATTTCCATCCTTCCGCCCAGTCGCCGTTCGTCATCTCAAACTCTTCCTCGACGCGCGTCACATGGAAGCAAAGACACGCTATTCGCTCGGGGCCGCCGCTGGTTTGCGTCTCATCGGCCGGAAAACAAAGATGTCGTGAAGGACAAAGACCTGCGCTTGATACCAGACTACCGGCTTCTGGAGCATCGCGCTGAGCTGCGGATAGCTGAACAACGGATCATGGAGCAGCGCATTCTAGAAAGACGGATAGTGGAGCAGCAACATGAGCTCATGGAACAGAGGTTAGGTGGGCATCAGTTGCTGGAGCAGAGGTTAGGTGGGCACCAGTTGCTGGAGCAGAGAGTGGCTGAGCAGCTCACAGAACGTGGACATTCTGAGTTGACGATTCAGGCTGACACTATGGAGGCGCCTAGCAGAACCGATGCTCGGAAGTTGAGACCTCGTCGACCCAGGACATTCTATCTGCTGGAGGACTACCTCGCTCCTGTCAGAGGGGGACTCGAGCTCGATGAGTGCGTGGGACCAAGAATTCTTTTTCCTCCTCCCCGACCTGCTCCTCCTACCCCTGAGTGGGACACTCCCTCGCTGTCCCCACAACCCAGCGGGTCCACTATCTTCAGTACTCCCCGTACCACCACATCTTTCTTGGACCCGAACATCATACCATCGCCTGACTGTCGGGGGGTTTCAGGTGCTCTATACTCCCCCGTCTTCTCCCCACGGGACACCAATTATCCTCGTTTCGTCACCCCGGAGATGTCGCTATCGGAACATCCTTCACAATCCCTCTATCCCGTCATGTACCCGTCCGGCCACGTCACTTTGGACGGACGCCGGCGAAGTCACCCTAGAACGAAGGTGAGACCGCGTTGCAGGAGGCCAATCGTTAGTAAGGTAATTTGTTGCAATGTTTTAATTTAAACTTGGCTAACATCTACATGGACAAGAGATTAGAGAGTAAAGTACACAGGTGAGAACTTCAAGCCCAGGTGAGAACCCAGTGCATCTATCACTTGACAAATGAATCCCATACCTAGGCGAAAACTCGGTTCATTAGTTCACAGGTAAGAACTCACTGCTGCGAACTTTGTGCCGAAGAGAGATCTCTGAACCGAGTGAGCTCTCATTACTCAGTATAGAGAAAATAAGAATCAGAGATCCTCTGTGCCCGGTACGCAAGTAAGTCCTACCAAACGTGTTAATTTGTTCAAGACTTATCTCTTAAGCTCACCGCAATATTACATATTGGCTTCTTATCTGTTCATCGCAATTCACAACGCCAAAGTTTTTCTTATGCAGTTACGTTGTAACGGACGCTTTTAGAATGTTCCATTCATAATGCATCACATGAATAGCGTTGAGCGCAATTTCTCTGTAGTCGATAGAAGCTTTAGTTTCTTTATAATAGTGGTAAAGAAAACCATAGAGCGATCAGGGACTAATATAATATGGCGCCTCAGTGCAGTCGTCCCATCTCCTGAGCGTGGTAATCTTCTCTGGAGTAATGAAGCGATGAATAAAAATAAACAAATTTCATCGATGATTAGCGATCGACTCATGAATAAGTATAAATACGGACTTAGTTGAAAAAAATAGGAAAATAAATTTATCACTCATTATAAAATTTGAAGATGATTTTCTGATTTAGCGGCAGACTTTATATTCAAATTATTCCGTTGGCCTATGGTCTCCCGATCATCAATAATAATATTAATAATAATTTACTCAATAATTAACTTTCAATAAATTATAATAATAATTAACTTTCCCAGAAACAATTATATGAATTGAATTATAATGTAGAGCATACGGGGAGATGATTATGGAAATATCATAATACAAGTTTACCTTCGAAGTAAAATGCCCGTATTCATTTAAAAATTCAAAAATTTCAGAATTTGGCACTAGGATGAACGTACGAAACTGTGAACAATGAAATGCAACCACTGCTGCTGCAGATGCAGCCATCGCTGCAACATTAATTGTGATTCTTCATTATAGAAACTCCGTTAAATATCTGTAAATGATTCATGACAATTTTCTGAACTTGTCGCGGAGCATAATCATAAAATTTGCTTCTAGCTTGTACAGCGCGAAGTAATGGTGAGAAAAATGCAAAAGTTTCATCCCGAGATCGAAGACTTAGGAAAATCTAAGACTTAGGAAGACGCAGTCACGTTAAGATCGTAAGCCCCCTGACGTTTAACGAAGCGTCTGCTGGAACATCATCCGTTAATTAAAAGACTAATTTCAACCTTCTGTCCGCCCACCAAAACTTGGACTTTGCTAAATTAAAGAATTCAAATTTGAACATTTTTATAAATTTGAAGTCCTCTTTTAACACACACGATCCGTACTATGATAGTCATACATGAATATTTTTATTATGTGTCATATCAATACAATCTCACTAAATTAATATGCATGGAGAGAATCTATATACCCATGCCAGCGAATTTAAATGTTTTCAATTCAAATTTTCCAAACCATGATTAAATAATTTAAAAAGTTCCGTTTAACGAACCAATGCAAAGGACTATGAATCAAAATTAATAAACCTAACACAATATGCGGTGAAATTTCCCTGAAAAGCAATGCATGGTTCTCATTCATGATGAATGCATCTATATTCAGACTATGTGGAATGAATAACCTTTTGCATTCTGAATTTGCTTAACAAATTCTGATTGTTCTTCTCTTGCGCCTGCCAATTCTTTAAGGAGCTTTTATATTTAAATTCCAGCTCGAGAATTTCATTCAATCGTCAGAATATTACTCGTAGAAGTTACGAACTTACCTAAGTTCATAAGAGCAGAAGCTTTTCTTACAGTATTTTACTGGCATAGAAGTGTCAGTCTATAATTCTTCTTATTATAATAATTATATTCTTTTTATAATATAATTATATAATTGTATTTATTATGTTACTTATATCTATCTTCTTCTTATATAATTACATTTATCTTCTTCCAAATAATAATATAATAAACCTGATATTGATAATAATTTTATGGACGGAACAAACCTCCCACATGTCATTAAGATGTGGGACGGACAATGAATAATTGCTGTAGTGTTCCACAAGCTCTTGGGATTAGCTTCCTTCAGTATTTATTGACTTTTAAAGCTCACGAATCGAGAGCACTTCTGGGAGAATGTTGATCGTTTTGACAGGAACACATTCTAAGAAAATTTATCATTTCTCTTACCTCTGTAATTTATCCCTCTGTTTTTTTTTATCCCAAGAAAACTTTAAAGCTCACGGTCAATACACTTTCTTTATCCGCATAATGCTTCCGTTTCCCACTATACTGCCTCTTTATCTCTTCCTCTTTCTTCCTCTTTTTAGTACATTTGGCCGACCTGAGTTACGCTCTTTCCCTCTCATCCTCTCTTTCGTTCACCTGGCCGACCTGAGTTACGCTCTTTCCCTCTCATCCTCTCTTTCGTTCACCTGGCCGACCTGAGTTACGCTCTTTCCCTCTCATTCTCTCTTTCGTCCACCTGGCCTCCGGGGCACTGCTCTTCCCTTCCCTCTCTTTCCGAGGGCTCATGATCATGATTTGTGTGCGGAGGCACCAGTTGCCCTCAAGCCCTGGTCGTGTGAGGACATGTGCTGCTCTGTCCCTTGCGTAGGAACTCCATACAAAACTCACATATACACAATTGTCCCTAATGACTGGAAACAAATAAATGACTAAAACATTTTCAATGAGTGTCGGAAATTAGATCATGAATTTGTTTTCTAAGGACTATTCACTGCGTAAGTTCTGAATGAAAACATTATCTTGAACTGAGATCCAGATTTCCTGTACGGGCTTGTAAATAGGGACGAAAGGTCATCCAAAATTGCTTTATGGTGCAAATCTGGGGTAGAAATTTGCCTCGCTTCAAATGTTACTTTTCGTGGATGGAGAATTTCGATCGTAATTCATGCATTAACACAATTTTTTATTGGAATTGTTACCTAAACGTATGATTTCACTTATTTCCACTTGAAAACAACACGGTGAACAACGGTGAACAGTTTTGACTAAAAATTATCCAAGCAATACTCGAGTAAAGATTTTGCACTAGATATTTTCAGAATCATTTTTCTTTTTTACTCAGGAAAAGCTATTCTAATTAAATGCTCTAGCTTGTGAATTTGCTTGCAGAGTTTTAACGTATCGAAGTGTGACGAATAACAATGACGATAACTAATCCCCCAGCTGTCATCAACCGTCAATTTTAGGGACTAAGTTTGTAATAAGTTGCGGTTGAGGAATTGCCAGCAACGTATCCGTCTTGAATGTTTCTTTCTTTAGTAACAAAATTCATATAATTTATAATTCGTTCGTGCAAGCTTTCCTTCCTGCTTTGTTTTTCGGTTAGCTTATTATTTTCTGGTTTCGCTTAACTTACAGCAATTTGTTTACAAATTTTGACCTGCACTACACTGCACATTCTTTCACAGATCTAAACCGACTTTCATCAATTCAAATCTCAATTATTAAAGTAGTGATTAAATCATTCATTTTTCGTTTGCTTCACGTAGTTGAACCTTGCTTTCTTTCCTTGTCACACCAATTAACAATTTCAAATATTTTGTTTAATCCATTAAATTGTTTCAAATTTTAAATTCGACCCGAAGGTTTAATTTAAAAATTCTAGGATTTTTGGTTTTTCTAACTTCCGTAACACAGTTTATATTTTATAGTTTTTTCGTTAATTAATATTTTTTGTACTCTTTGAATTAAATTAAAATTAAATTATTGTCATTTGACTGAATATAGCTGATAAATTCATCCGTAAATTGGCAAAATGGAAGCCCAACCCGATGTTAGGCACTGTAATTTCAGATGAAATATAGAAATCATTTGGTAACGAATATTGTACAAACAAATTAACATCGACGATAACCTGATTGACATCAACGCTCATTGAAAGACCTTTTCATGAGAAAAACAGACAGAAAATTTTAATGTGGTGCCGCATGTATTCGAAAATGCATCATTTGCACTATCAAGTCCTACATGTTTGTTTAATTCACAGTTAAAAAGTCACATTTTATTCTCAACTTCTATTTAACGTGTAAATGTGATCATCAACCATCCAATAGTTTGATTTTACCTAAATTGTAGCCTATCCACATTACCTTAACTCGGTGGGGGTTTATTTATACGGACTTAACAGGAGTTATGTACGGCATTTATTCGGACACAACTGTAGTTATGTCCGAGTTTCTTGTTATTCTCCTTCAGTTTCGAGTCGCTAACGCGATAGACATGACACTTTTAGAAACAGTTATTAATTAATTCTTTAATAAAGATTTCGATGACATAACAACAGAACAAGCTAATCAAGTTTAGAGATTGATTTAACAATAAACTCGGAAAGCGTAGTTAAAAATGGGCATAAATTAAAGCGTTCTCTGCTACGTAATACCAATCAATTCACCCTTTTCTCCAAGAACTTTTTCCGACTCCTGCTCGATGAATTTTTCGGACCACTTTGCCGCCGATTTTTGCTTGTCGGTGGTAAGAGCCTAAGAGGTAGTGATGGGACATAATCATGCCTAGGGTAGTTATGAGTAGATCCACGCTCTCTTCTCCAGCGCCTTATGGTCAAGTTTTTTTACGTCCTGGCACGAACTTCCTGGCATGCAGGGAAATACTTTCCCTTTAAAATATAAGGGTGTGCCATCGGCGGCTTTCCTTCGCCCTCTGAATGGCCATTGGAGATTTTGCAATACTCCTGTTGAGCTTCGAAAAACAGATTTTTTTTTTGGTCCTTTACTGCTGGTCTAGTTTCGTCGAGAATTTTAATTGACTATTACATTTAAACGAGGACTGACCAACCATTGAAATAAGAGCAGG